TGATAACTTACATTCTACCTAAAAGCCCATCAATTTGTATCTCAAGATAATATCCTTTCATATAATAATAATATATATATATATATATAATAATAAAAATTATCTAGTTAATAACTTAATTTTCATATTTCTAACACATGATTCGTTATAATTTATTAACGATCATTGATAAATATTTAAGCAGATAGTAATTTAGATATTAAAATAAAATATGTTTACGGAAATTTCTAAACAACCATTGTAAAAAGCCCACAGAAATTAATAAATTCAAGATATTAGATTCATAACATAAATATAAGTAGGAGGACATATCTCCTTTTAACGGAAATGTGCTATAATGTAGTCCGGTTTCATCTGCACATCTTAATTTCCTGGTTTGATATTTGACTTCTTCTCGGCCAGAACGAACTTGTTGATATAAATATAAGGAAGAGTTTCAGATTTAACCCATATTTCAAAGTCAAACACCAAACTAACTTCTTTTTTTTCTCTCTCCAACTTTTGCCATTTTCTCACAATTTTATCCTTCCCACTTAAACTATTAACGAAAATGCCATTATACATCTAATAATTCGATTTTTCTTTAATTGGCTAAAGTCTTCTTGGACTTTCTAAAGACTTTTTAATTACGAGAATGCCATCATCTTCAATACCTTCAACCACCATGAACAACCATGAAAATGGAATAAATGTTTATCAACCAATTTTAAAGCTGTAATAAAACAAATATCTGAGCTCATTCACTCATAACCTTGCTCATTCTATCATAATTCTTCTCCAAAAAATCTGGGCATAGTTACAATGCTTCGCGCCATGCTTTTTCGGTGAATTCTGGTTACTCGACACTTGGGTTGTTTAATTTCGGTGAAATCCTAAGTTCTGGGTGGATAAGAGAAACTTAGGGGAGCTCAATTTTGTTAAAGGTAATTCTCGCACTTCAATTTCTCCACATTTCAGTTTTTATATCGCGAATGTAGACTTCTCGTGAACTATACCGAAGTCTATGAGTCAACATAAGGTTATTTTTGCAACTGACTTTTAAAAAGTAGACTTCATTAAACCTCACGAGAAGTCTACTCGATATCCTTTGAAAACAAAAAAAAAGCATAGTAGACTTCATTTGAAGGCTTAAGAAGTCTACGAAAAAAGAGGTTATTTTTGTAGTTGAACGTATTTTGACTTTTGGAATTAGACTTCCTTCTGAAGTCTACTGTTTACGTCTGCATACGAAGTCTACTTTCAAGTTACTTTTGTAGTTTGACCAAAAACGTATAGGTCATTTTTGTGTTTGACTTCTGTTTTTCAAAAATTAAGAAATTTAAAAAATTCCAAAAAGCTTCAGTAGACTTCACAAAGAAGTCTACAAACTGTAGACTTCTTTATGAAGTCTACTTATTGTGTTCGGTCAAACTTAGAAGGAATATTTTTTTGAGTAGACTTCATTGTGAAGTCTACTAAAAAAAATTAATTGCAAAAATAACCTATTTTGTTCCGTAGATTTCTATTTAAAAAGTAGACTTCAAGAGTAGACTGTCAGAGAAGTCTACTCTTACATGAAGTCTACAATAGAAGTCTACTATGTTAGTCAATGCATTGGTCAAATGCTAAAGTAACCTTTTTTTCCTGAAGTCTACTCCTGAAGTATACTGAAGGAAAAGTCAACAGATTGGTCAATTGAAAAAATGACATTTTTTTAGTAGACTTCATTAGTAGACTTCTCAATGAAAAAGAAGACTTCTCCTCCAGTCTACATTTGAAGTCTAAGTCTACTGTACTATGTTTTTTAAAAAAACGCATTTTAAGCAAATGTATAAACTATTTTTCAATTTTTTTGGTTCAAAATTGCTTCTTAGTAAGTGATTGAACTACCCAGTGAATTTTATCTCATTTCATTGGATATTTATTGTTGAATCAGAAGTTTCGATTTTTAAGGTACTTAGCTTATAAAAGTAGACTTCGTCGTGAAGTCTACATTCGACGTCTGCATTAAAAGTCTACGTTTTGACGTTTTTGTAAAAACGCGTTTTAAGGACCGATGATGAGGCAGACAGTTCTGATGTGAACGAGGATGGAGAAGATGTCGACGATGCAGCTTACTCTGACGGAGAAGATTACAGTGTCTACGGTAAAGTGAAAGATGAAGATGATGATGAAGATGAAGTCTGTATTGAAAAGGTCAGAAACCGATATGGTGAAACAGGGAGCACGCCCATGTCATGGTTTGATAATATATATGTTAGGGCAAGTTTCCCTACAAAAGAGAAGCTGTTATCAGAGGTTAGACTGACTGCCATAATGTTAAAATTTGCTTTTAAAACACAGAAGTCTACCAAGACCCTGTTTGTGGCTAAATGTCGAGTGGAAGGATGTGCATGGATGGTTAGAGCGAGCGTGAAGAATGATGCATCTATTTTTTGGGTGACAAAATATTTGAAAGACCACACATGTTCAATAGCCCATCGAATGGCTCACCGTGGGAAGTCTACTCCTAAGTATATTGGCAAGCTGTTTATAAGCCATTTCGGTATCATTGATGGACTTACACCAGAACATGTGGTTTCAATGAAGCATATGTTTGGCATCAAGATGGATTACACTACCTCTTACAGATCTTTGATATATGCCCAACAATTGGTCAGGGGAACAGCTGAAGATGGATATGCGAGTCTCCCAGCTTACCTACATTCAGTGAACAAAGCCAATCCGGGAACTGTATCAGCTTTTCATGTAGATTCGAATAACAAATTCAAATATCTATTTCTCGCATTTGGAGCATCGATTGCTGGTTTTCAGTACATGAGAAGAGTTATTGTGGTTGATGGATGTCATCTAACAGGGAAATACAAGGGTACTTTGTTGGTTGCCACCGCACAAGATGGAAACTTTCAGATTTTTCCTTTGGCCTTTGGAATTGTTGATGGTGAAGATGATGCTTCATGGGAATGGTTTTTTTCTAAACTGCGTGAATGTGTCTCAGATGGGTATCCTTTGGTGATAGTTTCTGACAGACATATTTCTATTAAGAAAGCTTGTGAAACTATTTTCCCATGGGAAAAACGAGGGATCTGCTACTACCATCTACAACATAACATAGTAACAAAGTTTAGGGGGAAGCAGTTGCTGTACTTGGTTAAACGTGTGGCTTATGCTTTGATGAGTGGAGATTTTGACTCATTCTAACTTGTGTTTACTGATTGTTTTAGGAGTTTTTGGAGTCTTTTCAGGAAGTTTCAGGTGACTTAGAGGCCTTATCAGAGGATTGGAGTGTTTAGGAGGCATTGGAGCAAAAGGAGATGAATTTGAGCAATAAGGAGCTATTTCACACGCTTTTGGAGAAATCATCCGCGGCGCACCTGCTCCCGGTTTGGACCCTTCGTGGAGCACCTGCTCCAAATGGGAGAAAAATAAGGAAAACATCTTTACCTAATCTCAAGCCGCGTGAAACGAATAAAAAGAGTCCAAGCCGCCTATCTTTTCTTCTACGCTTTCTTTTTACAGTTTCCTGAACCGTAGAGTTTTTACTTGTAAGCTTTTGGGAGAAGAAATCTGCTACACTTTGAGAAGAATTCTGAACCCTATTATCTCCTGCGATTTTAATCCATGATTTTCTTTTCATCTGTTGCTATGTTTCTTTTCTCCATGTCTGAGTAGATCTCTTAGCTAGATTAAAGCGTTCAAAAGATTTCATGAGTTAAAGGATTAGATGCAAATAAGGCTTGATATCTATTGTCTTCACCATTGTTAGACTTAATGCTGAGGTTAAATTGATCACTCAATCTGCGATTTTAGGTTAATCTATTCATCAAAAGTGTAATAGGTTGCTAGAATAAACATTGGTGAGAAATTTGTCCTTAGCCAACGACAGTTGAAGTTAAGGCAAATCGTGAACAGATCAAACCTGCTAGCTAATGCTTGTCTGCAATTTTCTAGGTTCAAACGACAGTTTAGGATTTAGGTTGTTAGACAAAGTTATCGAGATCACGACAGTGGATCGATAAGCTTTTCTGTTTGAGTTCGAGACTTGCGTTACACTTGTGCCCTGAATAGTCATCTGGTTCTTATCTCTGAAATTCCTGCGAATTGCTTTGGTCTAGTGCTTGTTTTAATTTGAATTTAAATCGTTGTTTGCCATTCTGTTTACTTTTTAGTTTTCGCAACAAACCATCTTTCGTCTTAGCTTTAATTCAATCCTCGCAAAGTCATAGAGTAACACTGGTCCTCTGGATTCCGAATCCTTTATATTACAACTACATCACTGTTCTATTGCAGTAGAAACTAGGAGTACATCCAGTGTGAATCAAATTTTGGCGCCGTTGCGACGGGGACCAATTCGTTACCTTTGATTTTTGGTTTGAAATTCAGACTAAGGCTTTACTAATTTTTCTCTCTTGTTCTCTTGTTTGCGTGTGTTTCAGGTGTATGTCAAACATATCCACAAGGAGCAACTGCACCGATCTTGTTTCTTTGTCGAACACCGAGCTAGCAAGAGTCGAGCGAGATAACAGACGTCAAAGGCCTATTCAAGCTAACATGGGCGATCAAGGCAACAATGAAAACATGGCTGTCGAGCTACAACAGCTTCGACAGCAATTGGAGCAGCTGCAAAAGGTGCAGCAAGACAGGGAGCAGCCACAGCCTGCTATTGGAGACAAGGACAATCCGCATGCTTACTATCACAACAGGGCTGCGATTGCTCCTCCAACCATTCAGAGGCAAGACTTTGAGATCAAACCTCAGCTGATCTCATTGGTGAAGCAGCACCTCTTTCATGGGCTTCCTGCTGAGATTCCGATGGACCACATCGAGAATTTTGAGGAGATTTGCAGCATGACTGGATCAAATGGGATACCAGCCGATTTCTTGAAGTGCAAGTTTTTTCCATTCTCACTTGCGGACAAAGCTTTGCGCTGGCTGAAGTCATTACCACCTGGGTCATTGACTACATGGGAAGAGTGCAGATCAGCATTTTTGGACCATTTCTACACTAAGGCCAAAACTGCAGCTCTGAAGAACAAGATCTCGTCGTTTAAACAGCAACCTGGTGAAGCCTTCTGCGAAGCTTGGGAGAGGTACAAGGAGTACCAAAGAGAGTGCCCTCACCATGTGTTCTCTGATGAGCAGATTCTGTCAACCTTTTATGATGGTGTCAACTGGGATTACAGGAATGCTTTGAATGCAGCTAGCAACGGCGATTTGCTTATGAGTTGATTGAAAACTTAGCTGCAAGCTCCAGCAACAAATCCCAAGAGTATGACAGGTCTAGCAAAGCAGTTCATAGTGTGGAGTTGAGCAAGATCGATGAGCTTACAGCAAAGGTGAATCTGTTGTTGAGAGAGAACCAGAGATCTGTGCATTTTGCTGATGAGGTTGGTGATGCACCTCTTGCTCAAGAGTTTGTAGATGCAGAGAATAATGATCAGATGGAGGTAAATTTCGTGAATGGACAAGGGTATGTGCAGAATCGCAGCTTCAACAACTTCAAAAGCCACCCGAATTTATCCTACAGAAGCAACAATGTTGAGAACCCTCAGGATCAGGTCTATCCGCAGCAAGGAGTGCAGAATCAGTCAGGATTTCAGAAGAACTTCTCCAGCAACTTCCAAGGAAAGCAGTTCATCACCAATCAGAATCGGTTGCAAGGTGGAAATCAGCAGAAGTTGCCATTCACAAGTCTGCAGCCTTCTTCGAGTTCCTCAAATAACTCGCAAGATGAGTTGAAAAACTTGATGCAACAGCTGCTGGTTAATCAGCAAAAGTCTTCCATGGAGATTAATGCCAAAGTGACACCATGTACAATGATTTGAATGGCAAGTATGAAGCAGTGTGGACTCATGTGAAGAAGTTAGATGTTCAGGTAGCTCAGACTGCAGAAGCTGTGAAGAGATCACCTGGAACTCTCCCCGGAAAAGGTGAAAACCCCAGGAATGAGTTTGTGAATGCTATTGAGCTGAGAAGTGGGTCGACTCTACATGCTGCACCAACAAGCTCTGTGAGGAAGGAAAAGGACGTGGAGCACCTGCTCCAAGAAGAGGAACCAGCTCATGATGTAAAAAAGACGAAGGAGCACTCTTTCCCCATCGGAGCACCTGCTCTAAAATCGAGAGCACCTGCTCCAGACGTAGATTTGACGATGGAGCACCCTGAGCCAACGAGGGAGCACCTGCTCCAGCCACCTGCTCCAGCAAACATTCCTGCAAGAGTTTACACGCCTAAGATACCTTACCCAGTTCCACCAAAGAAGTCTCGCAAGGACTTAGAGGAGGCAAAGTGCAGGGAGATGCTGAAGGATTTGACTGTAAAACTCCCTCTAGTTGATGCTTTTCAGATGATACCAGCCCTTAAAAGATACATGAAGGGGCTAGTGTCTGGGAAAGCTGTTGAGGAAGAGAGTGTCATGATGGTTTCGAAGGAGTGCAGTGCTATGCTTCAGAACAAAGTGCTGAAGAAGAGAAGTGATCCAGGAAGGTTTGTTCTCTCAGTCAGGATTGGGAGTGTGCTGTTTGCAAGGTCTCTCTGCGATCTGGGTTCAAGTGTGAATCTGACGCCTTACTCTGTAGCCAAGCGATTGGGTTACACCAGATTCAAACCGACGAAAATCTCGCTGGTATTCGCTGATAGATTAACCAAATTCCCTGTTGGTATACTTGAGGATCTGCATGTTCAGATAGGTGATACACTCATTCCAGCAGATTTTGTGGTTCTGGAGGTTGATGAAGAACCCAAGGATCCTTTGATATTGGGTCGATCCTTCTTATGCACAGCTGGTGCAATCATAGATGTGAAAGGAGGAGTGATAGATCTCCAGCTGGGAGATATGGTGGTGCGATTTGAGATGAATAAACTCCTCAAGAAACCAATGCTGGACGGACAGACATTTGTCATAGATGATGGTTCAGACATTGCTGAAGAGGTTGCTGAAGAGGTTTTAGCCATTGATCCTTTGGAAGTTGCACTCACAAAAGCCGAAGGAGAACATGGGTATTTGAGTGAGGAAGCTGATGGATTTGCAAAGATGCTGAATGCAAGCACGAGGATGCAAAGACTGGTGGCGTACATGAGTTTAGAAGGCAAGGAGAGCTCACCTGCAGAAAAAGCCAATGGAGCACCTGCTCCGAATCCTGGAGCACCTGCTCCCGAAGGCTTGATTGATGGACCTTGGAGCGAATTGAGAGCTCCGAATCTTGAGCTCAAACCCCTTCCTGTGGGGCTCAGGTACGCGTTTCTAGGACCCAATTCGACATACCATGTGATAGTGAACTCTGAATTGAACAATGTAGAGATTGCCTTGCTTCGTTGTGAACTTAGAAAGTATAGGAAAGCTCTACGATATTCACTAAATGACATTCCAGGGATTTCTCCTGATCTTTGCATGCATAGAATACATCTAGAAGATGAATCAATGACTTTTGTAGAACATCAGAGGAAGTTAAACCCGAATCTACAAGATATTGTAAAGAAAAAGATAATGAAACTTCTAGAAGCTGGTGTGATCTATGTGATTTCAGATAGTAATTGGGTTAGTCCGGTTCATGTAGTTCCTAAGAAATGTGGCATCACTGTGATAAAATATGATAGGAATGAATTGATACCAACTAGAACTGTTACTGGGCATCGAATGTGCATAGATTACAGGAAATTGAATGCTGCAACTCGCAAAGATCATTTTCCTTTACCATTTATCGATCAGATACTTGAACGCTTGGCTAACCATCCTTACTACTGTTTCTTAGATGGTTATTCAGGTTTCTTTCAGATCCCAATCCACCCGGACGACCAGGAGAAGACGACATTCACATGTCCTTATGGCACCTTTGCATATCGCAGAATGCCATTTGGCTTGTGTAATGCTCCAGCAACATTCCAACGCTGCATGATGTCGATTTTCACTGACCTGATTGAAGACATAATGGAAGTTTTCATGGACGATTTTTCTGTCTATGGAAGCTCCTTTCATGTCTGTTTGTCTAATCTGTGCAGGGTCTTGCAGCGGTGTGAGGAGAAGCATCTGGTGCTTAACTGGGAGAAATGCCATTTCATGGTGAGAGATGGGATCGTGCTGGGACACAAAATCTCAGAGAAAGGGATCGAGGTGGGCAGGGCAAAGATCGAGGTGATGATGAGTCTGCAGCCACCAACATCAGTCAAGGGGGTTCGCAGTTTTCTGGGCCATGCAGGTTTTTACAGACGCTTCATCAAAGATTTCTCGAAGATTGCCAGACCACTGACGCAGCTGCTGTGCAAGGATGTGAAATTCGAGTTTGATGATGCATGTTTGGAGGCATTTCATGCTATCAAAGGAGCTCTAGTCAGCGCTCCTATTGTCCAGCCACCAGATTGGGAACTTCCTTTTGAGGTGATGATCGATGCTAGTGATTATGCAGTGGGCGCAGTGCTGGGACAGAGGAAAGAAAAGAGGCTCCATGTCATCTATTATGCCAGCCGAACACTCGACGAAGCTCAGTGCAGATATGCCACAACCGAAAAGGAGCTTCTTGCAGTGGTTTATGTTTTTGAGAAGTTCAGGTCCTACCTTGTTGGGTCAAAAGTTGTTGTTCACACAGACCATGCAGCTCTGAAATACCTGTTGACGAAAAAGGATGCCAAGCCAAGGCTCCTTCGATGGATCATTTTGCTGCAGGAGTTTGATTTGGAGATTAAAGACAAAAAAGGGATTGATAATGGTGTTGCAGACCACTTGTCGAGGCTGAAGATAGATGATGACATTCCACTAAATGACAGCCTTCCTGATGAACAAGTTTACGACATAGATGTTTCTGGGTTCGACGAGCACCTGCTCCCCACCGGAGCACCTGCTCTGACGAGTTTTTGCAACCAAGTTGACATAGATCGGCATTCTGGTTTCCCATGGTTTGGAGAGATTGCAAATTACCTTGCTGCAGAGCAGGAACCTGCAGGTTTTGTGGGAAACAAAAAGAAGAAGTTTCTGAAGGATGTGAAGCACTACTTTTGGGATGAGCCTTATTTATACAGGCATTGCTCTGATGGAATCTTCATAAGATGTGAAGCTGATGGAATCTTCATAAGTTGCTTATGAGTTGATTGAGAACTTAGCTGCAAGCTCCAGCAACAAATCCCAAGAGTATGACAGGTCTAGCAAAGCAGTTCATAGTGTGGAGTTGAGCAAGATCGATGAGCTTACAGCAAAGGTGAATCTGCTGTTGAGAGAGAACCAGAGATCTGTGCATTTTGCTGATGAGGTTGGTGATGCACCTCTTGCTCAAGAGTTTGTAGATGCAGAGAATAATGATCAGATGGAGGTAAATTTCGTGAATGGACAAGGGTATGTGCAGAATCGCAGCTTCAACAACTTCAAAAGCCACCCGAATTTATCCTACAGAAGCAACAATGTTGAGAACCCTCAGGATCAGGTCTATCCGCAGCAAGGAGTGCAGAATCAGTCAGGATTTCAGAAGAACTTCTCCAGCAACTTCCAAGGAAAGCAGTTCATCACCAATCAGAATCGGTTGCAAGGTGGAAATCAGCAGAAGTTGCCATTCACAAGTCTGCAGCCTTCTTCGAGTTCCTCAAATAACTCGCAAGATGAGTTGAAAAACTTGATGCAACAGCTGCTGGTTAATCAGCAAAAGTCTTCCATGGAGATTAATGCCAAAGTGACACCATGTACAATGATTTGAATGGCAAGTATGAAGCAGTGTGGACTCATGTGAAGAAGTTGGATGTTCAGGTAGCTCAGACTGCAGAAGCTGTGAAGAGATCACCTGGAATTCTCCCTGGAAAAGATGAAAACCCCAGGAATGAGTTTGTGAATGCTATTGAGCTGAGAAGTGGGAAGACTCTACATGCTGCACCAAAAAGCTCTGTGAGGAAGGAAAAGGACGTGGAGCACCTGCTCCAAGAAGAGGAACCAGCTCATGATGTAAAAAAGACGAAGGAGCACTCTTTCCCCATCGGAGCACCTGCTCTAAAATCGGGAGCACCTGCTCCAGACGTAGATTTGACGATGGAGCACCCTGAGCCAACGAGGGAGCACCTGCTCCAGCCACCTGCTCCAGCAAACATTCCTGCAAGAGTTTACACGCCTAAGATACCTTACCCAGTTCCACCAAAGAAGTCTCGCAAGGACTTA